ATAAGAGACAGCCTAAATATATTTTAGACGTTAAAGAAACTGAAATTTCTAAGTGTGTGAAAAAAATTGCTTATATATTTAAAAAAACAATATACCCGGTACGGTATTAATTTACCGTTTATTTTTGATATATCGTATATCGTACATTGAATAAAATCATTGGTTTATTCGATATCATAACATACACACAGACTGAATATCAATTTTGTATCTCTACCCGCCCCGATTCAACCACTATTTTCCACAGTATTGTTGTTTTCTAGTATTTTGCATTTGAATTGTGATACACACAATAGAGTAATGTACATGTTTCAAGGCCGTTCAAAGCAGAACTACTATTTACTGTTCATTTTACATATTTTCAGATTCACACCTTGTAACAGCAGGCAGGTATGACAGTGGAATGAAGACGGATGGTCTTACTTAAATATACCGTAAGCAGTCATTTACTTTGCTACCACAACAAGCCGGAACTCTCATACTGATCTTAAATTAACAGCGCGTATGACGTAAGCATAATTAGATAAATTGGGAACTGCAGAATCGTCAGTGGGAATATCGGGGAATTAAGAGCTTTTCATGAACTATTATAACCATAAATAAGCATATCTATTAATATTGCATATTGTACTGAATTGATTTAATACTGGTTAACTGAAAGATTTAGATTCTGCTTAGATATACTGTACTCGTGATGTGTTTTGGTCATTTGAGAATAATAATTGTAATAATAACAATATGAAATAAGATGAATGATGATAACAATAATAATAATATCATATCATGATTATGATGTTAATACAGATGAAGATGAATAATAATTATGCATTATTTGATTTATTTACTGATTTCAGAGCCATAGGCATACTACTCTCATGGAATGAAATTTCCACGTCTGTGGGACGTGGCACTTCGGCGCATTGTGGTCTTACTGATGCTCTTTGTGTTAATCAACGACGGAGACAGCGTTGACGAACCAGACATTTCAACATCAGATTATGGTATCACGATTGCTGTTTCAATCCACGAAAACATAGAGGTAGTTACTCAAACCACGGACAAAACGTACATGTTCGCCGCCGAACCTACTACGCTGACGCATGCGCATGGCTTGTTGTCGTCTGATGACGAGCGCTTATTCGAAAGTACGGATGGTGTACTCTCCACGCCTTCACTCGACGGCTTCTACACCTTAACAGATGCAGAAACTAGCGGTACTTTGACTTTGAAAACAGAATTGTCGCCAACCATAGTATCGACAGCTGTGTTGCTAACCGACCAATATTCGACGATTACTCAAAATAATGAGTTGGTAATAACAACAATGCACACAATGGCAAGTATAAGTGCGACTGCTTCGCCCGTCCTACCTCAGGTGGTGTCAATGCTTGGATTCAGCTTAACAACTGAATTTGAATCGATAATAACACACACGCACACTGACTCTCAGAATTTCATAGAAAATCATAATTCAGGGTCGTCTGACACGCACGCAACCCCAACTCAGATGATGATGTCATCTGTCGTGCAGACGATGTCGTCTTTCGCGCTTGATGAATTTTCTAGTCATATATCTTCGCAACCTTTACCTTCACACATTCCAAGGATACCTGGGCCTAAAAATGAGTCGAACTTGGCGACAGATAGGCTGGAAGGGTCAAGTGACTTTAATGAATGGACAACGGCACCGATAAATGGCACCATGTCAGATACGGACACAACTCAAGGTCAGTAAACTAGCACATGAAGTTTTCTATTAGCAATTATGTTTGTGATTGTGATTTTGTTTTTAATTAGCTATGGTAAAGATAGGCCTACTTAGTTTGGAATAACATAGGATAAGATACCCTGCTGTAGTAATTGTGTTCGTGTCGATGTTTTTGTGATTAGTATTTGGGGATTTGGGAGAACATGTGTGCAACAATTAGGTAATTACTATTTTAAGTACTACTAATACTACTACTACCACCACTACTACTACTCAGTGGCGTATCTAAAGGTCCTGAAATGGGGGGGGGGGACGATGATCAGGTGAGGGGCGCTAATTCACAAAATATGGTGATTTTAGGTGATTTTAACTACTTGACTGTGAATTTTGGGGCGCGCCCTCCCCTAGATACGCCACTGCTACTACTACTACTACTGCTACTGATGCTGCTACTGTAACTGCTACTACTACCACTACCACTGCTGTTGCTGCTACTGTTACTTCTAGGCTACTCTACTACTATTCTAGCGTTTGTTCTTTTTATATAATTATAACATTTTCATTATTATTTTTATTATGGATTTTTATTGTAGTTTTTAATTTCATATTTATTTATTTAATTATTTATTTTAACTTACACCTTTAGATCGGTGGCACTCAATGTCAATCGGTGCGTTCGTAAATAAAAAGGTACACACTTAACTAAGCAAATACATATAAAGGAAAAAGGAATTGTCATGAAATTCAAAATTTCTTAATACATGCTGTATATCAGACCAGTTTAATTTGAAATCGCTATTAATAAACACACAATATTGCAAAGTAGTATTACGTTCTTTGCGCGAGCATAGAAACGTACATCAAAGAATATGCGGCATTATGCCGCAAGGTCTTTTATAGCCTGTAATTCACTATATGAATCTCATATGAATCTTGCCTATCCTGGATTAATTGTTCATGTATAACACACCATATACTGTACTATATACATTAATCGGAATATCAATCCTAGCACCTACCTATTCGTCCACTCGTCAATCAATCAATCAATCAATTAATCAATTATTTCATCGATTATATACGTCGATACCATCTGTTCATCCATCTATCTATCTATACATGTATCCATCCGTTCATCTACTGGTCTATCAATCGATTGATAATTAATCGATTAATCAATCAATCTATTAATCAGAGACTTTAACCAACTGGTATTTATTGGAAATTCAAATCCGATTGGAGGTAATTCATTTTACAACCTATATAATGACATGCTCGTACAGCACCTAAGCCTATATGAAGTGAAAGAACAATCAGAATGCTACGCTTTGTTCTTAAGCATTCTTACCGACAGAACAGGATCTCCGATCATAACAGATGATACACGTAAAGAGGTAATGCTTTAGGTATTAACGTTTAGCCTACATGAAAAGCAAGTAAACATGTAATCATGACTTATAGTTTATTTTAAAAGATATGTAATTCTCACATTCGCTGATTGTCTTCGTCTGTTTTCCACATCTGCCGTAACTGTCACTCTATTAAAAATGCTGCACTCTCTATGATTGAATTTCCACTTGAAAAAGAGTGAAATAGCTGATGAGAATATGGCCTGTCACGCCAAAATTGGTCCGGGCCAAAAAATGTCCGGCGGACAGATTTTGCCCGCCAAAATTGTCCCGGACCAAATTATTCCTGACACCCAATTGTCACAGAAAGGCCAGCAAAACTGTAAACCCTTCTTCATGAAATAAACAACGAACGTATGAGGTTTGACCTACACATGAACGTGAGGAAAAGGTTATGGTCTGCTCATCAAAGCCACACGAAATTGACATCAGCCTTAATGGAGAACCTGTGAAGCAAGTGGTCAAATTTGTATACATGAAGTATTTGGGCCGATCGATCGAGACAACACTGTACTAGGGGTTCCGGGGGCATCCCCCCGCGAAATTGTTGTGTTCTAAACGCCCAAAAATAACATTTGAGGCGTTCTGGGCTATCTTTTTTTTCTTTTTCTTTCTTTCGTTTTTTTTTTCTTTTTTTTTACCTCCCAAAAAGGGGGGCCCCGGGGCCAGGCCGCCCCCACTAAATCCGCCCCTGCTCGCCATCGCAAGAAGCAAGTTCACTGACCTACAAAGAACTCTCAAAACAGAAACTCCAGTACCGAACTAATGTGCGTCTTTTGAAAGCACTAATCTTCCCCATTGCTACATACATCTGTGAAGCATATATGCCATTAAGAAAAGTGATGAAAAGTTGCCGCTTTTGAAATGTATTACCGCAGGATCCAAAACATAATCTAAGGCCTTAGCTTGAGTGTAGGAAATTTTTCTTTGTATAGTTTTTAAAATTCATATTTCAAATCAGATTGAAACACCTAATACGCGCATGCGTATTAGACAGCACTAGTCCTTGATGCATGGCAAATAACAGAGATACGATACGCCCACTTCTTCTATATATATATATATATATATCTATATATATATACATATATATATATATATACATATATAGATTATATATATATATATATATATATAGGCCTATATGTGCGTCATCGCTCTGCAAGCTATTAAGTGTTATTTATTTATTAATGATTTTAATTACTTATTTACATAGTGTACTACTTAAGTGTGAGTTGTGAGAACAAAATGATAGGTTAGTCAGAACACGAAGTCGTTGTAGTGTAATAAGTAATTCAGGATTACACGGTGGACTTGGTATCAGAATATGATTACCTTAACATCCATAGCTCCAATGCAATGGGCTACGGCTAATCCGACAACACTATTTCATTCCGTGAGACAATGGACCTTTCTGATGTATCCATCAAACTAATCAACTGACCAATTAGTACAGTGTCAGAAATACGCGCGCGTCCTATAAACACACGTTGCCCCACACGTGTTTACGTACCGGTAAGTTTACGCTATAAGGTCTATATACTATTCTGCTTGCGACTGACTCTATAGATGGAGCGGCCGGTAAATTATGAATTATGAACATGACAAGCAGACGACAGCAAGCAGAGAATTAAATCGTGCAACCAGCATGTGTGAACGAAACAACTATTTCATGAACCATAATTCATTATGACTTGTGTGCTTGCTTGCAAGTAGGCTAAACGTTAATTAGCGGCAACACAGGCGATCTTAATTGAACACAAGAGTGCAAATCTCGTAAAATAATTTACGTTCAGCTATCGTTTCATTTATCCACTTCTTGTCGGTGCGATCGCCAGTTATCTTTACTTCTGGGCAACCCGTGATAATGCTCCATCTTCTTCACCATCTGTTACGGTACGTGTATTTCTGAATTTTGAATGTATTCAAATATGTATTACTTATACAATATTTTGTATACTTTGTGTGTGGAAAAAGCATTTTAATGGGTTAAAACCCCCGCCCCCTCCGTTTGTACCCTCTTGTATGGCACTCGTACTTGTTACTTGTTTAGTGCCTTTCCTTTCAGTTACGAAGCACTGTGAGTGACACTCCACAAAAAGTCAGAAACATTCCCCGAGTAAAATTTGCATAGAACCAAACCCAAGCAAAGTGGGCTAACTTAACTAATGCAATAAAGCAGTAGAAAACAAACAAGACAATAAACAAATACGATTTAAGCAAGGAAAGAGGAACTATTGAAAAAGATGTTTTTAAATGGGCTTTGAACTGCCTAAGCGAATCACAAGATCTGAGAGAGAGAATTAACTAATGCAATAAAGCAGTAGAAAACAAACAAAACAATAAACAAATACGACAAGGAAAGAGGAACTATTGAAAAAGGTGTTTTTAAATGGGCTTTGAACTGCCTAAGCGAATCACAAGATCTGAGAGAGAGAATTAGGCAGACCATTCCTAAGTTGGGCAGCAATTGAAGGGAATGAATTGTCACGAATACGTTTATGGTAGACCGGTTGGCGCGACCGGTTGAACAAGTTGGATGGAGGGCGTAGGCGCCCTCAATTCTGCACACGCTTTCAGTATTATTTAGTCAAGGTGTTGAGTTGCTGATATGTCCGTCGAACTATTTACGGTATGTACTAGTTCTTGGTTTGTTATCAATATTTATCCATTACCTTGTGCCTTCTTTATTTATTTTTTTCTGTGCATTAGTAGATGCTATTTCAGCTGATCAATTGGTAATCACATAAGATGTCCAATCCAAAAGACGTTTTCTCTAATGGTGAATATTGTCCTTAATTGTTGTGTTTTAAGTGGGGCTACTTTACTTTCCATAACAGCTCCAAGCAATCGATTTCATTTACTATTTCTTTTGTTATAGTCCAAATCTAGCTGTTATACCCGAACATGTTTTTAAATGCAGAAGAAACGAATTTGTATAAGTGAGATTTTATTGCTAGTTGCTAGTGAGTATGTGATGATTAAATGCAGTCATGGCAGCTGTTGTTTTCTTCGTTTAAAGTTTTGTGTACCATTGTACAAATGTTTTTGTATATGGTACTGACATTTCTTGCAATAATTTTTCAAAGATCTTGGGTGTGAAAGTTCTGCTAATCTGTCGTCTATGTGTATGCTAAACAGACGCACTCAAAGGGTGTTTTAAATTCAGGAAGAATATTACTAGTTTATTTAAAACATTTAGGCTTTTAAGTTAATAGAGCCGTCTGCGAAAAAAACAAAGGATAATAATTAATTTTTAGCTTGCCCATCACGTGGCGATAATGATCCGAGTTTCAGGATCGTCCGTGGATTGAGCCGGGTATTTCCTATGCCAGTCACTGCTGAGATGCATAAAATACAGCACAAGCAAACAGCACAACAACTTGGCCACATTTGCATTCATTAGTAACTGGGTGGATAGTGGGCATGACTTCATTCATTATCGAGGGTCATGGTTACTCAGCTGGGCTAGATGGTTCATCATCGTTGTAAATATAAAATATTACATATATACATTATAAAACTTTTAAGAAAACAAATTCTGTGCATCAGCAAACGCTATAAACCAGCTCGAGTTGCGATTATAACATTATTATTAAATATTGTAATCGTAATTGAAGTATTATAAACATTTAATTATTATAAATATAAAATTATTTCTGTTATTATTACTATTTATTATTAATTATTATCATCATTATTCTTGTTGTTATTGTTGATGCCGGCGTGCTTAACGTGATATCGTAGGCCTGTAAAGGATCTATCTTACCTAAAAATCGGCTAAGCTTGTTTGTGTAGCCCAATAGCTGGCATTATTATATGGGTTAGTCGAATACAAACCTGATGTTGTAATCGTATCAAGCATAGCCTTAAGTTGTATGAAAAGTAGTGTTACCCATCATAATTGCTGTTAGGGGGTAATTGGCTTTCTGAGAATCATACTATTTGCCATTGAATTATTCCAAGGATGAAAGTAAGCTTAAAAGGGTATTATGAAGACATTGCTGTTGTGCTATGTTGTGCAGCCATCACGTCAAATAATTATAAATATCAAATCCCGACAGATTATCAACGTCATAAAACTAACAATGCTCGCGTACCTGAAATTATTACAAATCAAACGAAACTTGATTGATGTATTGTTTAAAGTATTTTGATATATTGATTACAAATCTAATAAGACGCCCACGCAGATTCCGTATGTTGATATAATGATTGTCTTAGCACGCGTAAACGGTAGCGTCTTTATTTGCTGGCCTATTACAGTACGTTGTTCGAACCTCTGAGAATATTACCCACTTATATTATTTTTCCTGCTGATCAATCATGCCTCACCTATTCTTTTCGTGGCATGTGGCAAATATGCTCATAACGTACACTTGCCGTTTGTCCCGGTTTCTGGCCTTTCTTCTGCTGGCTTTCACGACGTCCATGCCGCTGATCTTTCCTTGTTGTCCTTTTCCAGGTTGTCTCTGTGGACCTCTCTTTCTCAGGCTCCTCTGGTTCTTTCCTCTGGTTGCGATGTCAGTGTCATCTTACTGTCTTTCTATGGTGGCTGTCTTAGATCGTTCTCAACGTCAGCTTCTCTTATGATGTTTGTTATTTTTTGAATTACCATTAATCTTCCAAAGAGTGTTCAATTTTGTTAGGATTTGAACGTTATTGGTAGTAAAGTAATTTCTCGTTGATTTCAACACACCCGAAGCCTCCATTCTGTTATATCTGATAATAACTCCCCCTTTCCATTGGATTCGGGTGAATTCCTGTTCCCATGTTTCATCGAATATTCCTTACGTTTTCAGATTGAAGTTCCGTGTCTGTTCTAAGTAAGTTAACTGTGTCATAAAAATTTCTTTCCACCTCATTTCGCTTCTTTGATACTTAACCATATCTGTAACTTGCGACCGTTGATCATTTTAGTCTGTCATTGCATAGTTAGTTAGTTATGTTTATGTACACTCTGTGTGTATACTCATTTTTCTATTTTCTGTTGGAAATCCTGTAATTCCAAATCTGTTGCTTAGCTTCCTGGCAAATGGCATCTCGATATCATGGTTTTCTAGTTTTTCTTGGTGCTTGTATTCATCACTGTTAACCTGTATTCCCTATAAGGCAACCTGTAATTAATTGGTCATTGGCAGTTGGATCTGGTTGTGAAATCAAAATAAAATAAATATATGATCATTTTGATTTTGTTTTAAAGGCCTTTTTTAATTTGGATGTGGTTTGTGTGGACAGAATGTCCAACAAACTACCATATATTGATGCTAAAAAATTCACAAGCTTCTCTCTGTTCCTCCACCCTATACAAAATGCTTTATTTAGTAGGTCTATATTGACCTTGTCAAGTGTTTCACGATGTGTAATATTCTGTGTTTTTTTTTATATTTTGATCATTACAATTGATTAACATATTTGATGGATTAGAATCTGCATTATGATAAAACTATTGCATCATAACCAACATTCATGATGAGACTAGAATACCAAACTTCTCTTTAAAATAATCTAAACCAAATTCTCTCGATGTTGTTTTTTTTTTTTTATTCTACTGCACAACGACGACTACAGTTCCGCGTACTTACACAGCTTATATTAAGGAAATAACACCATAACTGATAGTGTAATTAATGCTGTACGTAGTAACACATTCATAAAGTGGCATTTAAGGCTAAAATCGTATGTAATACAGTAATTGTAGGTGGGATGATGCAAAAGATGCGTATACGCCAGACTATCTACTTTAAACAACATTACTCCAGTAATCGTTTTAATCACATACGTAAATTATACCGCTTTCGTTTCGAAACTCTCGTAAATTTGTGAACACGTTCAGAAGGCCTGTGAGTGCATTTTAAATTGTGTTGAACGCATCGTACACGAGATGGAGATACGCTTCTTTGCATCCTTTTATTGTACTAACTGATTGATATTAGAAGCTTTTTGTCCATTATATGTCAGTTATCAAAAACACTAATACCTTTGGTTTGTGTCGTGACGTGGTAGAAAAATCTAGTTAAACTCATAACTAGTTTAGATTACTGGCTCACATTATATTATCCTGATCATCATTGACTTGCATGATTTAGCGCGTAGCCTAATTTACATATACGGATTACGTGCGATAAATACGTCATTACTAATTATGAATGAAAACAAATGCGGCGATTGTTGCGATTATTTGCATGCAAATCTACTTCCGAGAAACATTATCTGCAAAATAAAGATAACGTCATTGACTGATTAAAAACAAAATATAATTGTACATATCCATTCACATAATTGCAATGTAAAAGCGATTATGAATTAGAGACTGAATGCAATGATAGTACAGTGTTTTTATTTACTCTGTTGTTGATGTTGTTTCTACCTTGAATGCTGATTTTATCTCTTAACACTATATAGAACAGTGATCCCACCGTCATCTTTCTGTTATCCGGATCGGGATTTTCTTGTATGGACGCACGGGTGAGCGCGTATGTTTGTAATCTGGATCCTGCTAACAGTTAGCTGCTATGTGTGAAATAAAGCAAGTATTAAACAAGCCTTAGCGCGTATTATGTAATAATAATGACTATGCGTAATATCAGTGCTGATTGAGCCTATATAGCCAACATGGGAGCAAATGTTTAAACAGGACGTGTAAGACAATAGATAATATATGATGAGAATGATGATGAATATAGTTATTATTATTGTTATTTTCATTGCTAATATTATATATTTGTCAGGGGTGGATCCAACCAGAAATGTGTATGTGCGATCTGAGTGAGAGTTTCAGGGAAGAGCCTGTGGGGGTGAAAGTGGCAAATCTCTGTTAAACCACTAACAGCTTCATTAATTTGAGGATGCATTTGATTGATTTTTACTATTTAGCATGGTAATTTTCTGATAAGCTTTACAAAACATTTTCTTCACAAAAAATATAGGGGATGTACTCCCCTTACGCACCCTCTAAATCCACCGCTGTTTGATTCGTGTTCCAAATTTATTGTGATGTCAGCTCGTGAATACCACTTATCTTTTGATGCGACATGTATCTAAAATTAACATACAGTAGCAAAAACACACTAACATAAGGTGATTCTAAATGTATACCAGAATGATCTTTATGAATATCAATTTGAATGAAATTCAACACCAAAGGACTGTAAAAGCGTTAATTGCTTCTTCATATAACGTCGTTAAAATCGGATGAAATATATCGCATGTCTGTTGTGCACGGGAAAAGTGCAGACGATCCGCAGAAATATTGACAGCTATGAGCGAAACTAATCATAAAAATAATAATTAATAATTATAAAAACCTACAAGCTGTTGATACTCGGTTCCAAACCATTTCTTTCATGACAAAACCTCTCGGGCCTCGATTTTAAATAACCTCCTTGTTCAAAAAAAGAACGCAAAATGATCAACATTGACTGATGGATCAGTATCGTTAAATATAACATAAAACATACTGTAATCCACCACAGCTATACAATAAAATAAGTCTTGAATAATTTTAGCGTAGTGCTCTCAATTCTGAATAATAACATTATACATTAACGTCAAAACTACGCATAAGCCACTGTTCAAGGATGTTTTTTTTTTTCAAATTCTTCTTCATAATTCATTTAAAGTGTTATAATGAGCATATTTCCATAATTATAATGAATGATTTATTACTTTTACAATAATCTAATGGATGTGGAACGCATAAAGATAATTTTCTTTTGGGAATATATTAGGAGGTAATCAAAGCAATGAGAGAGTTCACTAAGTAGAATAGCGTCACAATGTGACCTAATAATAGGAATTAATTAGTTTGTGTTTCAGTTCTGTGTTTACATTGTTACATTATGCGATTTTTCTCCACAGATGAATCCAAAACTAACCAAATATTGATTGTATCACTGTCGGTTATAATCGGCATATTTGGCCTGTCAGCACTCATCCTAAGAATAGGGTAAGTACCTTAGGCAATGTATTCATACGTAATATACACGCGCAATCGCTCAGAAATTTAATCAACCACGTGTAATCACGCGTGTTGAGCTCGACAGGCATAGAAGACCCTAATATCTGCAGGTGGTAAATTCTAGACTCATTCAAGTTGTGAATTGAAGCACTAACGATTGGCGCTCATCGTTACTGTGGAATATATTGGCCTAGACCTATGTATATTTTTACATATCAATAAACGTCATTCAAGGACCATCGATGTACCATTGTAGCAAGTGTTGCACTGAACACCTGTAATTTTTCCCCGTTTCTTACTACCGTATAATTGTCAATCAATGTATTTTTACATATTATTACAAAAATATGTAATAGTGTACTTACTAAGTAATTTTGTAATTATTATAAAGCTGCAGCAATCCGCATGTTCATATTTGAGCTCAGAGGTAACATTAGTCCTATATTTTCAACATAATCTTTGTTTCAAATTTTGTAAAATCGTTTGTCTCTAATAACTTTCTCCCATGTATTCTTTTGATTTTCCAATTCAGGAATTCCTAAACGTAACTTTGTTAATTTTCTAGGGTTCACCTTGTCATAGTTTAATAGCTTATGTAATGTCTTTTAAATATAAAGAAAACAAAATCTCGTAATCTCGAAAGCTCCGGTGAAGGCAATATAGTAGAGGAAATAGAGTATATTGGCCCTAACGGCCGCCCATACAATAAAGATAATAATCAATCAGCCGAGTGTTTCTAGAGCTGCTAAAGAATAACCTAGAATGTAGCTTAAACTCTTCAATACCTCATTTCGATGTATTTCTGTCGACAAAATCCAAATAATAATCTAGTAATCTGTTTGAAAAAACAAAAACAAAAAAAAAACCAAGAAGACGACTATTAACTTCAGTGTACGCAAGAGTTCTCAATCGAGCTACATCTCACAATTGGCAGTCATAATATTTAAATATATAGGTCTATATGGTAAAATCCAACTTAATAATTCTTCTTGGGGCTTTATTCCCACTTCTAAATGGAGTTGCCGGTGCAGATTGCCGTCCTCCAAATATTCTTGTCTACCGTTCCTGCTAATTTGTTACCGCCACTTCCTCCATCGCACACAACATTGTTGGTACTACCATGGTCTTTTAATTGCCTTTCACTCTTGATGGTACCCTTTTATTACACAACACACCAGTCACTCTTTTCCAGCTGTTCCATCCTGCCTGGATCCTCTTTTGTACCTCCTTCTCTGTACCCCCATCCTCTTGGACGGTTGAACCCAATTATTCAAAGTCAGTGGCTCAGCAGGGGCGGATCCAGAGATGTTTAAAAGGGGGGGGGGGGCGAAAGAGGGGCCGAAATTTGGGCCGATCGAAACAACAATGTGCTAGGGGGTCCGGATCCGCGAAATTTTTGTGTTCTAGATGCCCGAAAATAACATTTGAGGCGTTCTGGGCTCTCATTTTTTTCTTTTTCTTCCCTTTTTCCTTCCTTTTTTCTTTTTTTTACCTCCCAACCCTAAATTCGCCCCTGCTCAGGTAGCTCATTGAAACATCACATCGGTAGTTGCTCCTCCCATACACAGATACGTCTTTTTGCTCACCTTCATCTCCTCTAAACAGCTTCTCCACTGTTCCGAACTCTCCTCCCACTCCACCTTTCATCTCTGCACACAGGACTACATTATCTGCAAACGTCATCTCCCATGGTGTCTCTTTTCTCTTTCCCGTTCTCTGGCAGTCAATGGTAATTGTGAAGATTAGTAAGCTGAGTGATGAACCCTGGTGCACACCCAACAGTTACACTAAATGCGCAAAAACAGTGCTGGCTTGAGCCCCCCTGTACTTGCTCTCTATCATCTGCCTCAGTGCAAAGATGATGGGCAGATCGAATGGCCGAGCGGTTAAGGCAGGGGTACTGCAACCTACAGCCATAATATCGGTACTGGTTCTGGTGGTGGAACGAGTCTTCTCGAATAATGATAAACAGTAGGCCTAGGCCAGTGTACACAATTGGCTCGTGTGCCCTTTAAAGAACCCAGTAGGCCTACATCTTTCGAGGCGAGTAGGAGGATACCCCGGTGTAATGTGCTTATGGACCATTGGGTCCTTTGCATGATGTCTACGAAAACGTAAAGATCGTGACTGTGGTGCTAAGTCAAAGCATAAACGCAAATTGTTCCGGGAAAGTGCTGACTTCTTTCTGTCTCAGTCTTTGTTAACCCTCTCTCCCAGATCTTCTTAAAAACTTAAGATATGTAACTAAAATCTCATAACAGTAATTAGGCAGTTGCATTTAAGTGGTAAACTCCCAATTTCTGAAATTGAACTAGTATTTGCTGCATTGTTGTAATCATAGTTATAACATTAATGTATAATATCTTCACCGATTTTAACATTAGTTGTTGTATAGAGAAACACGTACTTCCTACCAGAAATACCTATTTTTTGATATTTTCATAATAATGCTAATGATGATTAATTAATAATGATAATCACGATTTTGGTTGTATACAATATGATCATCATTATATCGTATACCTTCTTTCGGTTTTAGGAACAGGTGGAAAAAACGTGGGATAGCAATAGAGGAGAGACGACGGGAACGAATCAAGGGATCCAATCAAACGGTATTGCTTAATTGCAAATCATGCATAATATTTAATATTTCGTATTTACTGATTCAACTCCATGGACCAATATGGGTTTTAGACTTCAGTTCAATTTTCCTATTTATCTTTCATACACTGCGTAGCGCACAGTAGTCCGGTAATGGTATTTTGGGTAAACATGCTGACATTTCAGAATCGACCTAATGACGTCACGTCACGTGTACCAAGCTTGTACGCCGTGACATGGCGATGTGCTTGCCACCAAGACCCTTGTATTAGACTTTAGTTCAATTTTCCTATTCATCTTTCATACACTGCCTGGTTCACGGTAGTCCGGTAATAGTATTTTGGATAAACAAGCTGACATTCCAGAATAGCTAAGTTCATTCTAATGATTCTTACGTGACATGCAGTATCGGATTTCACGCGTCTCTGATTGATGTATTGACTTAAGCAAATGCGCGGAATCCCACTTCGTTCTTGTCGCACGGTAGACTTGCCACAAGTCTCAAATTTATTGACTTTTTGTAGCGTTAGATAATTTCGAATGGAACGCCATTTGTGCCAAAATTTATTTATTTTAAATAATTTTCACTGAATAAGACAAAATTAGGGACTGGAACCCAGTCTAGTCGCACGGTGGCGTTAAGCGCAACTGACATAGGCTTTCCGACCATCGACTGATGTATCCTTCAGTCTAGTACTTGTGATTTTTCAATACAATTAAAATTTACAGCCAAACTAATTATTAAAAACTTAAACTTTGAAATCGCCATTTGAACGCGAGCTCGAAATCTATACTGTAATTAACAATTATGAAAATGCCACTAAATAACAAGTAATATCATAATGTCATGGATATTTTATTGATTATTCCGGCGGAACTTCATTAATCATTTATGAAACAATCTAATTAATGAAATATAGTATTCACACTTATGGGTCAACTTTTGATTAATTAAAGATTATCATTGAATCTTTGGAGACATAATAATATCGACAGTAGTAAATGTTACAGTTTCAACTGTGAAATAATTACTTTCTTTTCTTTTCTATGTAGACTAAAAAACGGCCTTCGATAACTAAACCAGTCACAATCCGTATGCCGTCTATTTTAAACATCAAGACTACTGGCAATCAAAGTGTACGTAGGTCAAAACCAATTACACAAAAAGAGAACGAAGGAAAATCTCCCGCCAACAACAAACCAAAGCGTAATCGCACGCTCGAGGCTTTAATCGAAATTGGTGCGTTACCAAAGGAAGCTGCTTATAGGAATACAGACAAGGCAAAGGCTACTCCCCCTCGAATCACGACTATAGAGAGAGAACTTCTCTCCAACGTTTGCGTTGGAAAATGTGCAAACGCGTTTGACAACCTCGCCTTAGATTTTGACTCTCAGGAAGAGATTCATTTTAGAGGGCATTTTGTACCTATGAGGTGTGAATTCAGGATAGATAAAGAAAGTGTTGACATAAGACAAACATTTTGCGCCACAGATACATTGTCCGACGATAAAGAATCGTCGGTACCGAGCTGCACCGAGTTGACGTTAGAGACTTCTGAAACAGAAAGTGGGTCAGATTCGAAAGGGAATCGACGTGATAAACGCAGAAAAATTGTCAAATTCGACAGACGATTGTCGAACGATTCAGGGTTTCTTGAAAACATCCGGCTGCAAGACATCCGATCGCCCTGCGTCAACTCTGAGACAATCGAAGAGGAGTTGACGTCAATGATGACTGAAAGCGATATAGTCCAAAGCTATTCAGATGATTCTCAATCTGATAAGCTAAACTTTCTGAAAACCTCTTGCATGCGTGAACGCGCCCCTAGACGTGGAAGCAAGCGTCGTCGTTCACCGAATTCTCCAATCGTCCGGCCAAGTGAGGTTTCAGATGCCGACCAATCGTCTAGTGAAACCGGCGGAAATGAAACGCCTTCTGACGATCAGAATTCTAAAACGCCTCTGACGTCGTCAATCAGTGACACTTTCAAGTACGAAAATGATCAAAATTATTCAGTAGCTCACAGGTCCTATAGCAGTTGTAACCAGAGACCAAAACCACAAGATCACTGGGAATGTTGCCAGAAAGCGCGTGACGCGACGACGCAAACAACTTACGCACCGGTAACCTTGTCTCCAATGCGCTGGGTGTACGAAGACGATGTGTTAGTATTGCGTCCACGTTCAGAGTTTGAGCTTGATTTCTTGGGACCCATCTATTTAGCTGAGTGTCTTCCTAACTTTGATAACGATGATTGTATAGCATTTCAACGTAAAACAGAAAATATAGATTTGTGACAGAAATAAATATAGACAATTATGCCTGCCGCCGGCAGTGGCGCCGCTATGGGAGGCATGCCCCCCCCCCACTCCCGTCGGGGAGAAAAAAACACAATTCGTCAAGGAGAAAACAAAGTTACGGATTATGTATTTTCTACCAAATAAGCCTGAAAGCCATAAACTGTCATATTTTTTGGGGACAACTTTCAATGGATTTTGAGTGATGCCCGACCACGCCCACTGCGTTGTCGTCTGGTGGGGAGGTGGGCGGCAATTCGATTGTGGAATTAGATGTGCTCATTTTTCTAATATTTGTCATTGCATTCTAGATTGTTTTTTAAACGGCAAAAAATATGATTTCAGTTGCAGAGCAAAGTATTTAAAATAGAGAGTTAGGAATTTTTCACAGACCCATACCAAAAAAAAATCATGATTATGGCACCTCTAAATGGCCGGAAATGGCACACAAAGACTTAAAATATGAGTATTATTTTTCTTTTATCTTTAGGTGGGATCCGGGCCGACAGGGCCCCTTTAATCCGCCACTGGATGTAATATATATTTCTTACAGTCGATCTGAGACACATTATTCTGTTATGTATCTACAAAGCCCGTTTGGGTAAGGGTATTAGATCGAGGACCCGATGGGTAGGGCTACCTTCGGGGGCCCTAGGGGTCTGAGGCCCTGCGGACCGCCGCACGAGAGCACAGGCGTTACGCCACTGCATCAGCCCCCCTCTCCAGACGGGGACCTGTCACCCCTCGTCGGGCAAATCCTGGCACCACCCCTGCCTGCCGGTAGTAACTAACACGTTTATGAGGTTGGCCCAGTCGGTCTGTGTCTCTATGTCTGTCTATTATTTTACTTTCATTTATTAGGTGGTAACTTTCCCTTAACACGATTTATGTTCATTGCAGTAGAGAATCCCATGTCATTAAGGTTGAAAGTGACGGAATATTTATATCGTCAATAATTCTTTTGTCATCTTAAATATGTTTTTCGTATTGGTTGACTAAACTTATATACTGTACTTAAATATAATAGACAATATTTTGGTATTATAAAACTGCTTACCTGTGACGCATTTGGTTTACTCTAGTGCTTTCAATTTTCTAATCGTATCGGTCCACTGTGCAATATTATTATATAATTTATCGTTGTATAATAATGTTAAGACGTACTATGTTATAATCAGATTTATTAACGTCTATTCATCATTTTAAAACTGCAAAATGCATCGGAGCATGAGTAATATGAATGTGCTATCAACCATTTTTGACACTCTCGGGCAACAAGAAATGCATGAAGGGCGCTTTTTGTGCGTCGACGCGCGTCATCAACAGCCCTCCCGAGACGTGTCATCACAGTTCTCCACCAACTTTAATGGCATCATCATGGCTTATATGAAATGCATAATTGCGCACATTTCACCTTTAAAAAAGTTTCTTCATGATAACATTTTTGAAAAGCAGGTTTTTACATTAATAATTTTCACTGATAAAATATTTCACGTTTTCTTCGTTTTCATTTTAAACTATAATGACTTGTCAGATTTTTTTGCTGGCACACAACAGACGTTTTATTCCTGGTTTCCATAACTGCATAGCTGTTCCCGTCGGAATCGGGAAGGTTCCCCGTTTCAACCGACCAACCAGCTTAAACGACAGCTGTCGGTGATAGCGTACAGCTAAGGTACCGGTATTTTATGAAATATTCTTAAAGAATTCCGTCTGATTCCATAAAGTACAGATGGAAAATTATCTGTATTGTTTTTATTAACTGGTTTAATAAAACAGATAATTTTCCTTACATGTTTTATAGAAACTGGCTAAGGGAATCTGTTGGTTCTATTGTTTTCCTGCTTTCAATTCATCATTACTCGTCTGGTTAACTCAGTTCGTTTCCATTGCACAATTTTACAGAATGCTTCAAACATTGTATATATAGTATACAAAAGCTTTAAAATAAATTTAAAGTTTCTGGTCAGTCTCAAAAAAGACTTTTTAAGCTGAGTTTCCATTAAATCGCTACATTGTCGCTTGCATTGCAATCACTAAATTGTGTAGCCAACCTAATTGTGGGAGCTCAGACTTGTTTCCGACAGGCCTAGCCCTGTCAGGGAAGCGGAACCAAATTCAACCTGCCCAATTTGCATAAAATCGCTACCGGCAGCTGTTAGTGGGTGAAGTATTTTATGGAAAGCCATGCTTTAGATAATTTAATTTTGTGATCAAGTTAGGAGTAAAATCGACCTCTGTGTTTATAGACCATAACTTGGTTTGTATTGTTGTCTTTCTTTTTTTTTTGAGTTAGAATTCTGTAAGTGGCGGACTTCTCGCTGTAGAACAAGTTGAAATAAACAAAAAATATTAACTTATCTATACCTGTGTTTCAAAAGCGAATTATTATGTATTATCCCATTTGAGATTATTTGTGAAACATTCAAGTTGACAAGGTCATCGAGAGAGCTAAATAAAATTCTGAGAGGGATCATAGCAAGAGAGTTTGTACTCATCGACAAGAAAGTCAATTTTGAAACAGATATGAATAGCCAAAAAAAGGTTCAAAAGAAAATATGATGAAAACTGACGCATTTAGCTGTGTGTTACCATAAATACAGTATCATCATCGGCTGGTGGAAAATCAGTCTAAGGATATGCTCAATCAGTGCTCATAATCGATGTAGCCGGCAATTTGAGAAGGTACCCTAATAATATATTGTATGGACACTATGTACATTGCAATAATGAGTACAATATGGTGGATCCTCAACTAATAAACAATTTATTAATGACTTTTCTATATCAATTATCTGCATGAGTGATTTCCCCATTTTTAATTGTACATTTTGAACTTTAGAGGACAAGGTTACACGGAATCAGTATGGATCTTGATTCTGCAATGAAGCTAACACATTCATCATGTAGAATATAAACATAAAGTCACGCTCTCGTTTACACTGGAATGCGTTTTACGCGTGGGTCTCGGGAGGCGGGATCACGCAACTAAAGGCCTGTTTATATTTCAACGATAACAATAACGATAAAAAAGCTTTAAAAAAAAACCATTGTTCATAATAGAAAACAAAAGAAATAAGAGAAGTTTCTACACTAGGACGATTCGATAACTACTACTACGATTTTAATGTTTTTTCCATGATTATGAAGTCATCTGATTTGATTTGTGAAAATATGTTGTTATCGCATAACTGATAAATCGTTATCGAATCGTTCTAGTGTAAAAACTTCACTTATTTCTATTATTTTTTATATGAACAATTGCTTTTCAGCTTTTTTATCGTTATCGTTATCGTTTAAGTATAAACAGGCCTTTAGGTGCATTGAATCGTAACGCAGGAGTAATCTCATCGGCGATTGGGTTTGTTACGGAGCTTATGCAAGAGCCCAAGTGACGTAGTCGTCTAGAAAAGTTGTTTGCTTTAAAATATTGTTAAAATAACAATTCTTGCAATACGTTTTAATAATATATTTAAATTTTGCGAAATTATTCTTCGGGGGGTTGGGGTGGTTATAGTTGAAAGTTAGGAACATATTTTGGGAGATATATTAGATGTTATAGATCTGGTTTAGTTTCCGTAATTTAACGAAATGTATTTAGGTTCTTCTGCAATGGGCATTGTCACCATGAACACACTTTCCATCACTGCCGCCGCCGTAGTCATAATCATCACCATCATCATCACAGCATCATCATCTTTTCACCATCACCTGACCATCATCTTCATCATAATTTTCATCACCACCAAGCTGTAATATAGATTGATACAGGCTATCCATGAGAAGATTTTTTCAGATCTTAAATCAATAGCGAAATAAAATTAATACTTCTGACTGTGGATTAATATGTTAATTTATGCAAATTGCCATTGAAAACAAAATCAATAATTCTTCGACAATCATCATTTAGGTCTTTCACAAGTGTTACGCCATTAAGTCACCTAAAGTAATCATATCATTCATAACAAAGGATTATCCGATAGCCGACTATTATAATGCACTATTAGAGAATTCAATTATAACGTAATTGATATGAAATAGCGGAACAGCTGCAACAAAAGAAAACTTGAAGAATTTATTACGTAGGCCTAATTATATAATATCCAAGGCATGTAGAGAAATAATCCGATACACCTACTCAATCATATAAACATGCATCCGACTATCATGCTATAACAATAATTGTATGTATATATATGGAAGATTTCGCTACATCCTGTTTGTGGTAGATGTTTCTACCACTATGGTTTCTCCTTCAGATAAACACCCACTTAATTAGGCGTTTGTCCTAACATACCAGAATCTAAACTATATAGACCTACATACACACATGATTTCTATATAATTTCATGTACTTGTTTCAACATGACTGATTTATTAGTAGGCCTATATACATATCATTATATATGTATGTAGTATATAGGCCTATATGCTTTCGTTTCTGGTGCGTGAGGCTAAACGCCTAAGTCATGCTAAAGAGCTTCCAAGGTCAGATAGAAATATTAATGAGAAAAGAATTTTTTTTTTCTGATCGTTTTCCCTTCTATTATTGTCCATGAACACATATCCCTCTTCATATATATGTATATATATACACATATATAATATATATATATACCTATATGTAAATACAGTATACATATATAATGTACATGTAATATAAATATATATATATATATTATATTATATTCAAAAATATAAAAAAGCGCTACAACAATGACTATTATTATTATTATGTAAATATATGTTCAAGAACTTTTCGTTAAAGTACTATGCTTGATACGAATACGACGTACATACAGTATACAAATGTATGTCTCTGCCAAGGATGGATTAGAAGTTGGCAACTGGTAGGATGGGACGCCAATGTGCTGATTACTTGCCGTCTTATGGTATTCTCCAATAGAGCTGAGCATGTACTCTAGCAGTATCCTGTGCATCCCTCAACCGACTTTATGTTGTAGATACTTCAATGAAGAATTCCAAAACGACAGAATTTTAGTGTTCTGGGAATGAATATTTATTCTCATTGGAACTAATCAAAAACAATATAAATACACATCTGATTGTCTACAGAAATAAAGTAATCATGTTATTTAATTCATTTTTTCATAATATCCACTCTTACGGTCACGTGTCCAAAAGGTCAGAGAACGCAAGACGTAACATGAATCAGTGTGCTGAAGGTTGAAGTGTCAACTGAAAATTTCACAATTAACTTTTTGAGTTGTGAACATAAGTTTAAAATTGTTATTTATTTATTTATTTGAACATATTTATTGAGGGTGAACCATCCAGCAGAAGCTGATGACATGGTCTATTATACAATACTTATCAGTGGAATCATCCGCTATAATAAAGGAAATATATTACAAATAAAAAAAATAGGCCTTGTAGATATGATAATTTAGAATATTATATTTGTTCATGTCTATGTTATACACAGAATATCATTAACAACAATAATTGACTAAAGTATTAGATTAAAACTTCTGATAACATTAGTTTTACTATTTAACATGTAACAATGAGAAGGCGTACATAATATTTCAACATTTACTGAATTTTGAAAATTGTTCTAATTTACACTACATAAACAATAAATACATTATGCAACTCATTTTTACAATACTGTATTATTACAATAATAAATCTCTTTCATTAGACAACTGCATTTGAGAAAAGGAAAACATAAAAACAGTTTAGTCACTGCAAATAATTTGATACATGTTTAATAATTAATTAATCTTAGAACAATCCAATATTTATATCCTTCCACCGGATGACTACAACAATTTCATGCAAAGCATCTTCAATATATTTGTTATTTTTCTGTATAATGATCTACAATATAATTGAAAGTTTTGTTTCCTTGAATCCGTTTTTCTTTTACTTCATGGGGTTGCGAAAACGTTTCCCAGCAAACTTCGCTTTGGATCCAAGTTCCTCTTCAATTCTATATTGGGCATGAAAAAAAAGTGTAAAATAAGTATAAAACTTGAGGCGGTGATGGTGAATAGGGATGAATAAAAAATAATAAAAACAATGCGCATTGTAGAATTTGACAATAATAATAACAATTCACGTTGACACAACCTCGAGGCGTTTGAACATTATTACCCCCGGATCAATGGATCAAGCACATATGGAACACACACTCAAGCCCCATGGGGGAATTCCATAATGTTGCAGCTGTATTCAGCGCAGGCTGTGTTTGAACCTACCAGGTACCCACTTGTACTCCTGGGTGGAGAGAGACAACCGTAGATAGAGTGCCTTGCCCAAGGACACAAGCGACTTGCACTGCGAGAGTTTCGAACCCCCGACCTCAAGGTTGGGAGTCCAAACCACAACCGATGCGCCAACCACTTCTACTGCCTACCATTAAACAAAACACATTTTTCAACAATATTTTGTAACAATAAATCTGTAGATGAATGGTGTACAATGACACTACTCCTCCTTCCCACTTTACCTCCATTTGCCCTACATTACCTAAGAATCTGGTTGTACTTGGCCAGTCTCTCAGAACGACATGGTGCTCCAGTTTTGATCTGTCCTGTGCAAAGACCGACCACCAAGTCCGCAATGGTTGTGTCTTCGGTCTCGCCACTACGATGGCTCACCATGACGCCCCATCCATTGCTTTGTGCCAACTGGCACCTGAGGAAAAAATTACGATATTATAAACTGACTATTTATATATAAGTAGATGATAATAATAACAATAATAATAATAATAAAATCTTTATTTACACACGGAAGCTTGTATCACCCAAGGGTGTTTTTCAACAAGGCCGTGATGCCATTATAACAATATAAAAAACGATAAAAGGAAAAGAATACCGGTAAAACACACAATTTACAAAATACAATGGTTCAAAGAACATGCACCAGTAACACTTGTTAATTTTAGTTTACAAAAGCTTTTTGAAGGTTCTGACATTTGGTGCAGTTATTACATCATCTGTAAGATTGTTCCATAGATCATTCCAAAGAGTATAGAACTGCAAGGGGTCCAACTCCTATCTCAAAAAGTATAACCACAAACTAGAGGGCATCCTTCAATACAATGTAAAAGACGTTTGTATCAAATGTGTGCTGCATCGCTTGTTCCGAGTTTTGAACTCTTCAAATTCTAAAACTTGGTTTCCATACAATCGCTACACACTATTGACGACAGCTTTCGGTGTTGCTGATTGGTTGGTCAAATCAGGGAGCCTTTCAAATTGCATTGGTAGTAATTTTTAACGTTTCATACCTTTTCAAACGAGAATAACCAACCAATTGTTTTAGTACTGCAATATTTTTAGACTGGAAAGTATGTTCTACAGAACATTCTTCACAAGACCTAGTAGGTCCTAATTCTTTAAACAAAATTCTCTGTAAGGAGTATTTTTATTTGAATGTTAAGCGTGAAGTACAGGGAGCTGTCTAGCAAGCTTCAGGTATGTGCTCTATCAATTTCAACCTTATTCATTTGTTGCTTCAGTTACAAAAAAGACCCCAAGATTAGAATGTGGGCACCAAGGTATAAATTGCCACTTGGATGAAAACTATCTTACGCTTCAATGGATTCAGTGATCGAGCCAATCTGGTTCAGTTTCAGAAGTAAGCAGTTACAAGCCTTAGAAGACACAGCAGTCTGGATGCGCTTCGGATTAGTAACGGTCAAGTCGTCGCCAACCACCTGTATGCTCACGCGAGACGTGAACTTACTCCAGTTCTCCCAGTCGTCCTGATCAAAAGCATCTTCAATGGAGACAACTTGATAAAGATTTGGATGAAATAAAAATTACAATTATAAATACATTAACAGTGATTACTATAATAATAATAATAATGATTGACTTATTGAGTGCATAAGTGTTGGAGACCTTTTATCATTTTTAGTCGCATGTTATGAAGAAAGGCTGGAAATGCTTAACATCTTAAGCATAGAAGATATTTTTTTGTTTTTTTGTTTTAATTTGTGTATTTTATAATATGAAGGATAGGGAGCAAATCTTGTTCAAGCTTTCGCCAATTCCCTATCCGGGCAATATACAGCATGTTATTTTAATTCTGTTTATTTTTTGTCAAATAACTATTATTATTATTATTATCGTTTTAAATTATTAGCCCCGTCATTGGATCAAGGACATATGGAACGCATAAACAGAGGGTGAGTTCTAGCCCGAATATTCTTCAAAAAAATTATTTCACAATAAATTAAACAAACATTTACAGATTCCACAAATTGCAGCAGTCAACATGTTTTAACCAATCACATGTAAGTACACCATCCAGGCTATAAACCAATCAAAACACGACTTTAATCTTGAATAATAGATAATGTAAGTAGATTAACGATGGTGAATAATACTTTACTGTGGTCTAACAAGTCACCATGAGTGGCGCCATGGGGGGGGGGGCCAGGGGGCCAGGGACCCCTTGGTCGGGGAGAGCTGGGCCTCCCGTCGGGGAGAATAAGCACAATTCGTCTGGGAGGAAAAAAAATTATATGTATTTTCTACAAATTAGTGGATTCTAAAATCCAATAAGTAAGCCTTTGAAACCCCTAAATTGTCAAAATTTTCGGGGGCTTCGCCCCAGGACCACTTTTGGAAGTTTTTAATCGAAGCTCGACCACGCCCACCTTTCTTTCATCGGGGAAATCTGACCCCTTGTCGGGGCATCAGCACCTCCCCCGTTGGGCACCTCGGCCCACCCCCCCCTTCGTCGGGCAAATCCTGGCGCCACCCCTGCAAGTCACCGACAGGCTCACATAACCCTCTCCACTCCTTAGGGATTTTAAAGAGGAATTACTATATTAAATTATGTTTAAATTGGAAAGTCAAATAGATTGCATGTGTCCCAGTTGTAAGCAACAGGGTTTTGGAAATTATTTTAGATAGATGGGCCAATACAAATGTATTAAAGTTAATATGTACAAGATTTGTACAACATACCTGGGTATTTATCAATAAACTCCATGTAAAGATCGGCAAGTTGAGGCCCAGTCAGCTGAAAGAAAAAAAGAATAAATATCAAAATTACTTTAATATATTGAAACAATAAAAATTTGTAATGTTTTTTTAACCAGTCATAATTGGCCTAATGACCGTATTACAGTAATTTCCTCTATGATGGATAGCTTCTAAAACAATATGATCTATATTTGATGTACACTTTTAAAATGTTTTCATTTACTTTGTACTATTTTCCTTTCCTTTTTTTTTTTACAGAAAAGGTAGGTGGGGTGTTTGATTATACAGTACCTGGGGGGGGGGGCACAGGCCGAACCCCGTCCCCCCCCCTTTGGAAGGTTAAAAAAAAGGGAAAAAAAGAAAAAACTGATCGTCTAACGTCTCAAAGATTATTTTCAGGCGTCTAGAACACAAAAATTTTGCGGGGCATCCTCCCCACCGGATCCCCTAGAGTAGTATTACCTCGATCGGCCCCATTTTCGGTCCCCAGTTGGATATTCCTGGATCCGCCCAAGTACATCTTCTGTATTAAACTGTTATTGTTATTGTATTGCCACAACATGATCAATCAACCAATAGTTCAATCATCTACTCTAAATATTTAGCACCTTTTCCACGCATCAAATTCTATCCATTATGTAAAATACCAGTTGAAACTCAAAAACAATGTTGTTAAATTGCATAAATATTTAAATCTGTATGTTGATGATGTCGATAAGAAAATAATCCTCTTATCAACAAACTAGATAAGATGCAGATTCAACAATTACTTCAGGTTTAAACCAAAATCCGCAAGATTAAGTGTGGGTGATATATTTCTGGGTTTGTAAAGTGCAGCACGGCACACGCTATTTGTATATTGATGTTGTATTAGACTTTCCAACAGAAATTCTAAAATTCCACCAACTGTACGTTCTGCTTTCTCTTCTTTGAAACCTAACCTTTTGAGATTTCTTTCATCTAATTTTGTGTAATTTTCCCTGTGGACATATCTTCTGTTGCAATATTTAATTTTAAATCTTGACTTAGCTTTGTAATTCACCTAAAGTTAATAAATTTTGTCTTATAAATCTGTTTATTTTGAGATTTTATTATTTGTCAGTTGTATTTAATTATTTTCTTTTTATTTTACTTTTCTTTTTCCACTGCAATTCATTGGGGATTTTTTTTACTTTAAATTTTTCATTTTGTAAATTACTATTCATGTTCTCCTTTATTTAATATTCTATACAATTTTTCAGATTTTATATTTTTCTGTTTTAATTCAATTAATTTGTTGATGTTAAAGACCTAGTTAAATTTTCATCTTTAATATTTATTTGATGTACTAAGGGTCCCAACTGATCAGCTCATGCTGGATTAACTACCTTCAGATGCAGATTTATTAAAATATATATAAAAAAATAAATACAAGAAAGCATTAATATTATAGCTAAAATTTCAATTTTTTTGAATATATCTGAGAATACCAATTTGTTAGTTGATTGAAATTTCATTCTTACCCACTTAGATGGATCAGATTGCTTGTTCTTAAAGTCCAGATCATATTTACCATCTTTGTAAAATTCAGAAGCAGCTACATCCATTCCAATCTCAATCTTGTCGGTGTAACCAGCTTTAGCAATAGCCACCTTCAACAACTCCAGGCCTACACAAACAATAACACCCTGAATTATTAACTCTCCTTAAATATGTATGGTGTGGAAGCGATGTATTTATGTCTTGCCAATATATACATGTATACAATTCATACATTTAACATAAATGGATAAGTACCTTCCATATTATCTTGAATATTGGGTGCAAATCCTCCTTCATCACCAACATTGGTAGCTAATTTGAATAAATAGAAGCAGAGATATTCAAGTTACATTACACAATATAAATTTTCAAAAATTAGGATACAATAAAATTAGAGAACAGGATAAGAAATTCAAATATACAAGAAAATTAGGCATAAAATACAGTTTACATGAATTGCAATTACTGCATAAGGCAGTTTTAGGAAACAAACTCAAAAGTGATACAAGCCATCGTGAGTCTCTATTTTGAAATTCAACATCAGGAATTAATCATACTAATCACAGAGGGCGCCAGACAACATTTTGGCCAGAATGATAGATTAAATAGGCAATTATTTATTTTTTCTTGTTTGAAGGTTTGCATGGTGAAGTAATATTATATAATAATGCACGCGGTACACCACGTATATATTTATTTTTTGTAGTGCCTTGAATAATACTGAGAGCGATATACTGTATCAAAATTTCAAACTATATAAATGTATGTTAAAACTCTTTTATTCTCTATTTGTAAGGTGGTCTAGTGGTTATGGCGCCAGGCTAGTTAACTGGTGGTTGTGCGTTTGATTCCCACTCGAAACACTTGCAAGAATTTTTTGGCAAACAGAGTTGAACTTGCTTAAGTCAAATCCAAAATGGCATTGAAAAATTGTTCAACTTAGATAAAATTTAACTTACAGATCTTTAATTAAAGGAAAACACAACAATTTGGCATGTAAAATAAGATCAACTTAGAAATTTTTGAGTTAGGCAAAGTCGACTTAAGGCAAAGTTTAACTGTATTTGGCAAGGTACTGAGCATTTAGTACGACAATACGTCAGGTAGAGCAAAACCATCATTTGTAAGTGCCAAGTACATATAAAAAGTGTTAATAATACAGAGTATCAAATATCAAGGACAATCACTATAAATATATTAGTTATAATAATAATAATAATAATAATAATATTTATTCGGCAGAGTAAAAAGTATACATACAATATTCTTGCCAGGAGTAAGTAATAGGCATAAGCCCAAACAGTAAACTGCTCTTACTCCATCATCAAAAACAAATACAATGACAATACAATATAAACATATACAAAAAAGTAAATTCAAAATAAATTGATTTAACTAAAACAAAATGAAAAACAGAGATAATTAATAGTTATTATTAGTATTAATATTTTGAGATCAAGTGTTTTGTGAGCTGGGCTTTGAAGTCCGAAATGGATGTGCATTGTTTAATTTCATCAGGAAGTTGTTCCCATAATCTAGGAAAAATAACAAAAGATGAATTTAAAAATGTATTAGTCTTGGCTTTCCAATGTATTAATCGCCCTTCACACCTTTCACTTGATCTCACAAGATTATTAAACGACAATGGACATTTTCCATGCATTATTTTAAAACCTAACGTTACTTTTCTAATTTGAACAAAATGATTTTTAGTAAAAGATTGGAACATACCATCCTGACCGTAGCGCTCCTTAATAACTTTCTTGAGCGTCTGGTAAACCTCACAGCCAATCCGCATAGCTTCTTTGAAATTCTCAGCCCCTGCTCAATATAAAATATTATCGTCATAAAATAAATAAAATAGTGGCTATGTGTTACTGTATATAAAACGAGCACATTTTCATATTCGTTTCAACAAGTTTTCTGTGAGGGCGGTCATCCAGCTTGAAGCTGGTCATTTAGGCTCCTTAATACACACATACAGTACTAAACAAAAAAACACACAAGTACAAAAACCTATAATTTGGATTAAACAATTAAAACAAAAATATAAATTCATAATTTTATATCTCTCACAACAACAAAAAAAAACCAAAATACTGTAAAAATAATAATTATAATAACAACCTGTTTTGATCTATTAAACAACAGTTTTCACACTTTAAATACTATTACCACTGACTGATAATATTAATAAAAGAATAAATAAAATGATTAATATTTGTAGCAATATTACTAACCTGTTGGCAGAATCATAAACTCCTGCATAGCAAGCTTATTACCTGCATGACTTCCGCCATTGATAACATTGAATGCCTGTAGAAAGCATTGAGGGAAAATTAGTTGAATTGATTGTAAAATGGGTTGTGTTGAGGGTGAATGAGTTAAAATAGTCAAGACGTACACTATGGCTATGTTCTCACACGGCAGCTAACGGTTAGCAGGATCTGGATCCTGCTAACCGCTAGCTGCCGTGCGTCCATACGAGAAGATCCCGATCCGGATACCAAGAATAAGATCAAATAACTGGCCAATAAGAAACTGGAAATTGTAAATTCGTACGTGTGATTGGTTGATGATAGAAACGCGCTCAACGTGCTAACCGATAGCGCTTGCTAACCGGTATCCGGTTGAGCGCTAACCGTTAGCTCCCGATCCGGATACTAGGGCTCCCGTGAGAACCAAGCCAATGAAGCCTATCACACAAGTTTGCTAATAATATGAATATTGATTGTGCACATGCATTCCTTACATGCTCTGATACGAGATTACCTGTTTAGCTGATGGATTACTGTGAAAAACTGTGGGTAAAATGAGTTGAATTGTGGGAAATGTGCCAGTTGAATTGTGATAAAAATAAGATGTGTCAAAATGAATTAAATATGTTTCATTTGCAAAAATGTTTGAATAGTTTAGTAAATAATTCCACTTCTTTTTGGGAATCATACACAAGCGTACTCCAATGTGCTAAAAACGAAACAAAGATTGTTGTTGACTGACCGGTACTGGTAGGATGACCTCCATGTTTCCGGCAAGATCAGCGATGTGTTGATAGAGGGGGACACCCTTCGCAGCTGCTCCTGCTTTGCAAACAGCTAGCGACACTCCCAAGATTGCATTTGCACCAAGCTTAGCTATGATCAATAAAAGAAAGAGGGTGCTACAACAAACATAGGTCAAAGTGTTTTAGGTGTGAAATTGACAAAAATGTTATCTTTTGGTAGTTTCCATACATATATGCATGCATGGCAAAAAAACATGTTTTTTAATATTCTCTTTTATTCTCTGCATGTGTTCAAGAAACACACAAACTGTTCTATATGATTTTTCTCTTACATTTATTTTCGGTTCCATCAAGTGCCAGCATTGCAGAGTCAATCATCTTCTGGCATGTTACATCAAATTTCTAAAATAAAAGAACCAAAACAAAATGTGTTATAATAATATGTAAATGTAAGTAAAGGTAAAGGTAGGAGAATAACCCATAACTTGCTACTGCAGCATCATTGTGCTGAATTGCGTATGGGCGTGGTCCGTGACTACCTAAGAGCCGTAAAGAGGCGCTTCATGGTAGATACGTGTTTACATCATTCCACAATGACAGGGGCTGAAATGAACCATAATATCAGGATAAACCCCCCTACTCTTCCGAAAGATGCAATGGGTTCTTTAAAATGCACATAAGCCAGATGTATACACTGGACCTCCATTTTAAGTCCTTATCCAAGAAGACTTGGTTCTACCAAGCGAACCATACCACTCGACGGTGCCCCTGCCTTACCGCTCGGCCACTCGACTCACTTATTATTATAATAATAATATACAATCACAAGTTCACTCAATTTATTTACAAAAGTATTAATAATTACAATCTATATATCAAATGAAAATAGTTTTTATTTTATTTAGAATATTTGCAACATACCTTTTCAATGAGGTGAGGAGCTATTGTGTCATTGATGTTTGCCACTGCCTTTAGTACACCTGGAATATAAATTAACATATTGAATACATTAAATGCATGTTTATGTCATTGCTATGCATGTCTCTACTATGTAGGTCCCAACTTATTAACCTGGGTGGTTCACTTTAAATGTAATTCCAATAATGATGATGATAAAGATGACATCATTGAAAACTATAAGAAAGTTTTTCATAATGCCATAGATAATAAAAATTAGTATTAAAGAAAATGATAAATTAACAGTGTCCATACCCTTGCCAAGAAATCGTTTAGGATCCTTATCTCGGAGTTCAAGGGCTTCATATATCCCTGTGGATGCTCCACTAGGAACAGCAGCTCGGAACATCCCTTCAAAGTATGAAGGAAAAATAGTAAGTGCATTAAGAATTATAGAATATATTAAAGCAAAAATACCACCCATCCAACAATAGAATACGACAATGCATACTTTTGCAGTTTTCTTTAGTTCTTTTGCTAATCAAAGCATTCATAGAGGCTCATTTCAGTCTTTACAAAGATAGGTCTTCAACGAGGCTGTTATTATGTTTCACTTTTGTAAAAGGTAACGGTAAATAAAATATCAAAGTAGCTCTACTTATGGCAAGATATAGTGCATTAAGATAGTAAGAGATATTTTTAAGGTTAGAGTAAAGCCAAGTCAACCAATCAGAACATTGGGATTTCGATCACTTAGGCATAAGCATAGCCATGGCGTTAAAATATATCTTTTTTGGCCAGTTCAATACTCTTAATCGTAGTGTCTACCAAAAGTTAATTTTGCTGAAACATTCCGTGACAGGTCAAACAGGGTAATCAACATATACAGTATACATGACATGTGTGTTTAAACAGGTTTTAAAGATTTATAATGTTCTGCATTAAAGAAAAAAAAAAAACTTTTACCATGCTCGGTTGTCAGGTCGACCTCAACAGTGGGATTTCCACGACTGTCAAAGATTTCGCGGGCATGAATCCTGGTAATAGGCATGGTGACTGATCCTGTAATGTGCACCTTTTGTCAAAATAAAAATATTTCATGTTTTCAATATTTATCTTAAAAAAGTAAAATGAAAAAGAAGACTAGGCCTAGTCCTGGATAGAATAGGTTGTGGGGGCCTAGCCCTAACATTCAATACCGTCCTCCTAGGCCAGTAGGCCTAAACTAAATTTATAGGCAGATGAGGGTAGGCCTAGAGTAGGCCTACTTAGCCTTAGGCAAACCTATCTCTAGGTAGGGCTAAACTAGGCCTACACTATAGATAAGTCTCGAAAAGCCTATATAGTAGTACCAAGCAAGTATTAATGAAACAGTCTGAGTACTAATGAAAATTATTATTCTATCCTACACAATATCCGTAGAGGTATGACTAGGTATACATGTTGTAAAATTTAAAGATAATCTAGGCCTAAGCCTGGTGGACTGAATGGAGGTATGTTACGTATGCAATCTGTGTAGGCCCATTGATTGACTTGCAGCACGCAGCACCAGAAGAACAGAAACCAAAAATAGTCAATCCAGGCATGGAGTTATAATTCCAGGGGTCACATTTCCCGGATATGCAAAACCTAAATGGCACGTCAAAAAACGCCGTATATTCAATTCTGAATATAAATACAGCATACGATTTTACTAAAAGTCTCAAGCAAATATATACCATCAATATCTACTAGGAAACTGAAACTTAGACATATCATTCAAAATACTACACCTTACACCAAGCAGCAACAACAGCAACAGCAACAGCGAATGCTTCTGATTTCCTATGTATCAGGAGGATGATCAGCATCGAACGACCGGCGAATCTCCGAACTGCTCCACGTTGTATTTTTAATTCAACTTGTTGCTAAAAAATCGTGTCGGTTCGTCAGTTGTCTGTTCTTTGGTTCATGCAAAAATGCTCACTTGTTTAAAAAAAAAAAACGGGTTCGTCCACTTTTCGCGGCTTTGTTTTGTTTTGGTAAACCAGACAGATTTTGACTATTTAAAAAAAAAAACCACTACTTTATTACCGCAAAACTGATATCAGTAGATTATATTAATCACTTCAAAAAGCTTTAGAGCAATCTCCATGCCAAGAAATTAGTTAACATTCGATCTGTTTGTGGGAGAATTTCCTAGGCCCAGACTGAGCCAGGAGGCTCAGCTGGCTGCAGGGTTCTGCGACGACGGCCACCGCTTATGTTGTGGCTCTCGTGTACTTCATTCAAGTTCTTAGATCGAAGCCTCCATTTTCGCCTTGCCTGATTTTTGCAGCAGATATAATACTATAGATTCGTAGTGTGATCAACATAATAATACAATTATCATCAGATCCAAATAAGTAAAACTAAAATGGATGTTGGAGGTCGGGTAAAGGTTGGTTAAGTAACGTGTCGTTATTGAATAATTAATATGATAATTTTTTTAAATAACTGATTACTGAAACAAAGCAAAATACAAAAGGATACTAGTCCTAAGGGCCTAGTAGTACTACTAGTGAGTACTAGGCCTGACTAGGCTCCTATTCCTAGTCTATCTAGGAGGAGTAGGCCGAACAGAAAGAAAAGCTAAGTTACAGTCTAGTTAGGCCCATGCCATGGCCACGCTTCTATGTGACAAGATAGACAACAATGCCTTATATAGTACTGTAATTAAAAGTAAAATTTCTACGAAACTACTACTCTAGTCTTCCATACCATTGTAATAATGGTTTTTATGGCAGACAGCACCACCTTTGTTCTTACTACTACAATATTTTTGTTAGTTAATTTGCGAATGTACTGTATTTTAAACTAAATGTTTGCGTAAACTAGTGACTAGTAAATTAGTGATAATCTAACAATTTTTTTCTATGTGACCTAAGATAAAGCTTAGCTGGAACAATTCTTAATTAATCAGATACAGTATGTATATTTATTCAGGAAAAACTAGTTATAATATAGGATAAGAGCACATAGAAAAAATTATATTAGATACCACTCTTTAAAAAAAAAATAATGAGGGCTGGAGGTTTTTTTTTTTTGTTTTTTTTTTAAATCTAAACAAAGAATATTGTTTGTTTTATTAATTCTACATTACTTAGGGTGTTACTATAGTGAAACCAATTGTGTATGGAAATGTTGCTCGGTATTTTGGTAAGAAGAGGGATGAAGATGGCCACACCCACTCTTGGACTGTCTACATTAAACCTGTCAAGAATGAAGATATGTCCACCTACATCAAAAAGATCCAGTTTAAGCTACATGAAAGCTATGCAAGTCCTATCAGAGGTACAGTATATAAAAACAATGAAACAGGAAACTAATACATGTATGCATACAGTGTATGCTATGGTAGCTCAGCTGACACATGTACAGGGAAGATTTCCCTTTGTTAGCTACCATCTCGAGTGAGGAAAATAAAATTATGTATTATGAATTATGAATATGAAATGAAAAATATAAAATAAATATGAATTGAAATATATATGAATTGAATATCAAACCTATATGGAATTAATATGAGTCAAATATGAAATGAATATTAGGTAAAATGAACATAAACTGAATATGAAATATATATAAAATAAATATGATTTTATGGCAGATAGCAGTATATCAAAAAGAATGAAACACGAAACCAATATGTAATCAGTATAAAATAAATATGAAATATATGAATTGAATATTAAACTAATATGGAATAATTATAAATCAAATATGAAATGAATATTAGATGAAAATTTAAAATGAATATAAAATGAATATGAAATATATATATAAATAAAAATGACTAATTTCCAACACATAGATATCAACTTAAAAATGAAATTAATATAAAATAAATATGAAATAATTATGAAATGTATATGAAAGAGAAATGAACATGAAGTGAATAAAATGAAATGAATAAATTGAAATGAATGTTAAATTACTATGAAATAAGTAGGTTTAATGAATGAAGAAAATGAGTGAAATCAACTAATTCTCAAGTATATCCCATGGAATCTTACCTCACCTAGTACCACCATCTTCCATCTATTTTAGATTCATTCAATAATTTTATTGTCATTGTATAACATCGGAAATACAGTTAAATTGACAGATTATAAACTTAGCCTAAAGTTTTCGTCACATGACCTATAATATTTAAATTATTGCAAAGTAATTTTCCATTAACTGTTGATTGTTTCTTTTGCTCATATCAGTTGTAACTAAACCACCGTATGAAATAACAGAGACAGGTTGGGGAGAATTTGAGATTGGAATCAAGATCTTCTTTATCGATCAGAACGAGAGACCTGTAAGTTAAATAGAAAAAATAGATGTGAATATTTTTTTATAAGCACCACCATGAAATTGTTATTGTACATTAATATTAACTCCTTTGGAAAATTTACACTAATAAGCAAAGTAACTTGAAATATAAACAGAGTAGTATAGAGAGAAAGAAAGAGTGAGTCACCAATTTAAGTTGGGTATGGCATATTATTGCTTAGCTCATTATAAATATTATAATTATTTCATAATATTCACTGTGTACAGTAAGTCAAATTTTGGTCTGGTAACCAGGCTGAAGCTCTGTTTCCATACAATCACTCACCCATCGGCGATAGTCGCTGACAGTTGTCGGAAAGTTTGGACCTAGTTCAACTTTGCTGATTGCGTTGCAGACGAATCGGGTTGCCTTCCCGATTGCGTTGGGGCAGCTAGCAATGCACTATGATTTCTCTGCAGCATAACCATCAAAGTTGAGCCAGTTTCAACCTTCCCGGTGGCTGCCGCCGATAGGGTGAGTGGTTCTGGGGAAACCGAGCTTCAGTGCAAAGGGGGCACTCACTGTGTCATACGACAGTCATGACGATTCCAACTTTGCTTCCTGTGAGCGCTAGGCGACACGACACCATCTGGCGATTGTGGCAGTCTAAATGGATCGTCATTAAAAACGATCTGTTGCACGCACGTCATGGCATTGCGATGGCATTGCGTTCTTCGTAGGATTGCATCTACCAACGACCGTCGGCTGCAGTGAGAGCCCGGCTTAAATGAGGCATGTTGCGGTGAAATGGTAAAGTTGTCGCACAGTCTAGTATTGAGTAAATGAGCTATAAATATGGGAGCTCAAAAAATTGTTAAAAAATCCAAATTTGTTTTTCACCGTAGGTCAACAATTTTATTAATCATGTCCCAAAGTATTAGTTGTGGAAGTGGTTTATTTAACGTTATTTTTCATAGTTCATTCTATTAAACAATGTATGCACAAATAACTTTGAAAGGCAATTACTCAAAATCCTGTTTATCTTGACTCTAAGAGTACTGTACTTTCACTTTCCAATAACTTAGGTTTGAAATGTCCAATTTGAATGAATGACCTTTCATTTTAAAGATCACATACTCGGGTATTTGAAAATAGCAATAACTTGAATTTAAATTTTTGCTACAACTTAGCCATTTTGCCACAACATGCCTCAAATGTTTACCAGCCAACTGTCAAAATATTTGTTGCCTTCAATTTAGTGCTGTATTGATATGATTGCTTGAATGATTAAATCATAAAATGTTTCTTTCTTTCAGGTGACCTTGTATCATTTTTTGAAATTATTTCAGACTCCCGATCCTAGTGTAATTGCCGGAGGAAATACTGTTGTCTCAGAACATTACGATGAAATTGTGAGTCAATACAAATTTATTTCAATTAATAAATCTTCTGGTGCAATTTTTTTTTAAAACCAAACAAACTTTTTTTTATCTGATCACCATTCATGTGTGTTGTTTATTATTAATACAACTGCAACTTACAAAAAGGACACTTTTTTTTAAACAGTTTGTTTTTATTATGTATTTTCAATATAAAAATAAAACAGTGATCTCTTATTTTTGAAGATTTTCCAAGACCCAACAGCAATGATTCAACAGTTACTGACTAGTTCACGTGCACTCACCTTGGGGGCACACAAACATGAGACAGACTGTGAGTATTCTAATAAAACTACAGTATATAACAGAATTGATAATAAATAATAATAATAAATTGAAAATTTCTTAATTTCTGAGTAAGACAAATCATACGCACAAACAATAGATAATATATTTAAAAGAAGGTGGTTGTTGAAAGAAAATGTGCACTTTGAGTAATTGCCATTGTCATAGCACCACTGAACATTGCATTCTGCTGTGGATATTGGCACTACATAAATCCTTGTTAATTGATTGATTCATTAAAGAACCATTGTTTACTGTCATTTCAGTTCAGTTTATTCATGGAGGAAATAGTTTCCTCCATGGTTTATTTGACATTGATAATCAATGTCGATTTGGTCTATTTTTGCAAGTAACCGAATTATATTGTTTCTGTTGTATATATATATATATATATATATATATATATATATATACTGTATATAGTTACAGAACTGGAGGCTAAGACTTTGAACACATTGCAGTCTGCACGAAAGAAAATCCGGTCGGATATCTCAGAACTGAATGAACAACTGAAGAAGAGTAAAGAAGCCATCAACAGATTCAAAGATGAGATAAAAAAACTTGAGGACCAAGAACAAGCAAAAGAAAAGAATGGCTGAAATAGTTGGAAAATAATTTTAAAAATTACATTCTTACTGAAGTTGAGATATGACTCCACCAAGTGAAATTCTTAAGCTTTTGTCCATGCATTGTTTTCAGATGCTTGAAAGTAGCCAAAAGATGACCGAAAAGAATGGAAGTTTGTGAAAACAATGTCAGGAACCCAAACTATGGCTATGTTCAGACACAACGACTTACGCTAGCGTAACGTTAATCGAGTGGTGTGAACTTGTGCGCCTGTCTCTTATACACATCTAGATGTGTATAAGAGACAGCATTCACCGTTGCTCAGTTTTTCGTCAAACAACTTTTTTCTGTCTCAGAAAAATCAGTTCTACAAAATATCAAAAAATTTTTTTCCTCCGGAGCCTGACTTGAAAACCAAAATAAAAATGTGAAATTTAAGCTGGCATTGAGTTGGCAAGTGTGTAACAAAAACCAGACTATTTTACAATTTGGAGATGAGGAATAAAATGCGCTATAAAAAAAATACTAGTGAAACACGCAAACTATTAACTCCAGCGATAACTGTCCATTCAGTGGTTAAAGCAAAAGTGGATAAATCAACTGTAAGTTGTGTTTTAAATGTACATAGTCTATGTATCACTCTGAAGGTACTGTAGATGGGCAAACAAAATTCGGATGTCAAAATACGAGGACATTATGAGTACACTACAGGGAATAAAAGCTGAAGGAGTCATTATTTCTTGAAAAAATTGTGTGATGCCTGCAGGGCTGAAGACAATTTCTGATAGCAATTTATTTCAGCATTGCCTTATTTTTTCAATTGTTTTATAAGTCAATCACCTTGTTATCTCATAACCATTATGCCTTTCTAGGCCATGCGTAGGACAATCTAGGCTTCATATATCAGTTACAGCTGTATGGACAACAGTAGCTATGGTGGAATAAACATGTAATCCATAAGTTTTTGCGTACTGCATCTAATTTTGTCTATTTCACTATATGTATGTATCAAGCACTATCTCTGGTCAACTGGTACCCTTACTTTATCGTATTATATGCATATACATATATATATATACACATATATACATATATATATATATATCTGTACATATATATATATACATATACATATATATACATATATATATATATACATATTTATATATACATATATATATGCTAAATATAATATTTTCTAGCATATATAACTTCTCTAGGCCTCTTAAAATATAATTGTTCATGTAAAGAAAGGTTTAAGATATTTACTTATTCAGAATCATAAAAGGACGTGCTGTATAAAACGATATCTTACAGTCTGTATGCCCAGTTATTACCCAATTAAATACTGCCTAGACTTTAAAAAAAAAAAAATTTACTGATGATAAGCCCAAGCAAGGATTGGTGTGTTGCCCAAACCCATTTTTGTTTTATCACAAAACCTAGGTTAAATGTTACCATCCATATAAATTATAAAGAGTGTGGTATAATCAAAGAGTATACATTTTTTTTAGTATAATCGTGGAGGTATGGTATAATGTATAACAAGATCTTCGAAAATTTGCCCTGGATACCTTGAAACAAAGATAATAAATAGCAGAAGATAGAGCAGCTTCCCAATATAGTGTTCGAAAGGCATTGTGGGTACACGGAGAGCAATTTTACCCCGTCCACGCGGCGGCGCTATACTAATAATAAAGGCGCCGCTCTGGTTCAAAGCTAGCTATAATGCACGCGTGTGTTGGTCATTCCTTGGGCTATGTTCAGACAGAAGGACTTACGCTAGCATAACGTTAATCGAGTGGTGTGAACTTGTGCGCGGCGTAGCGAACGCCAGTATTATCGCCCAATCACTGGCGTACGGTAATCTAGCAACAGAAAATAAAATGCGCGAATTACGAATATGAATATTTCGCGCGAATACTTACGCTAGCGTTCATTAATCGTCCAGTCTGGTCATTCTTTTAAAGCTTAGTACGCACGTCGTGTACGCTCACTACTACGCCACCACCACATCAAAATATTGCCATTTTGGGTCTTTATTATTTCTAGGGGCTATAATTACGCTCTCAGCCTCCCTTAATTCGTTTTGAAGATTTCGCATGTTTGTACGAAGTGCGTGTTTCTTTGGTATGATGTATGATAATGAAATAGGGTCAGCGAAGATAACGCGTTTTTATACACATACGCGTATTACGCACATGTCTAAAAGCTGCGTTCTCTTCCATGGCTACGTTCAGACCTGTGAGATACGCCAGGCGTATCTAACGCCGGGCGTACGTTAATCCATGGCGTAACTAGCGAGATGTCCAGACTGGGCGATTAATAAACGCTAGCGTAAGTATTCGCGCGAAATATTCGTATTCGTAATTCGCGCATTTTATTTTCTGTTTACATCTAGGTTTATTTTGATTGGTCAAATCTTGGCTGAGTTCAAAATCACTGATGCGTGACTGTCGTAACCATAGAGCTATTAAACAACTAGAGTGCTGACAAGATGGCGCAGCAATGCTGGTTTCATCTTTTTAACAAGTTAACCCGTTAAAAAATGATGTGAATAAGCGCAATAAAGCATTATGATAAGTGTCCCCATACTGTAATAAATGCGTTCGTTAATCGCCCAGTCTGGACTTCTCGCTATTTACGCCATGTATTAACGTACGCCCGGCGTTAGATACGCCTGGCGTATCTCACAGGTCTGAACGTAGCCTATGGTCGTAACTCAGTGGCGTACACTAATCTGGGGTCTGTTGCTAGGTTAACGTACGCCAGTGCTTGTGCGATAATACTGGCGTTCGCTACGCCGCGCGCAAGTTCACACCACACTCGATTAACGTTACGCTAGCGTAAGTCGTTGTGTCTGAACATAGCCAATGTGTGTACCGCTGTTTGATACGCGCGACCGTTTCCATATGGTCAAATTAAACAAAAGATCACAAAAGGTTGGCGGACATCGGCAAAGGAAGTAACTGTAAACAAGTTATTGGCGCTAAAACTATCGTAGGGCCTAGTTATTGGCGCTAAAATTATCGTCTCCACTTAAAGGCTATTCTTTCTGTAATACAGTCATGTCAAAATGACCATAAAGACAGAAGTAAAGCTTGTGTATATATTTCTGTTCATAGTTCGATGTCGTGTAACAATAACATGTTTTCATCATCATCAGGGTTCCAATGAAATGATGAATTCTTCAGGATTAGAATTTCCTTACACCGAATCTGATACATACCACCTCTTGGCGGCAAGCCATTTCAATGGATCAGTTAAAAGTTCAGGCCAACATAATAGTGAAACAAACCATGTTAGTAATTCTAAAATTGTTATTAGCAGAGGTAAGCGTGAACCTCGGAAGCCTGCTTTCTGGGCAGATTGGGAAACTTGGAGTGCCTGTTCTGACACTTGTAACCCTGGGAACAGTGCTGGATACCGCACTAGAACCAGGATTTGTCTCGATATCGATGGTGAAGTTGAGACAACATGCAAGAACAACTACATAGAAGATGAAACATGCAATGACTTTCCATGTCCAGAAAGGAAGAAGGTGAAACGTAAAAAAAAAAAAAAGCTTCTTGGAATCCCATTAGACCCCAACAATCGAGTTCCCAAATTTACATCAATGAGTTCCGCAAAAAAGTATATTGGCAGAAAACTTGGTAAGGCCTAAATTGTTCATTGCTTTTCACATTCCGATTAAACATTTTGGCAGAGAACCTCAATGGATCTTTGTTGAAAAAGAGACCAATTATTAAATGTTTTACCAATTCAATCCATCCGCTGCCTTGTGTTTATAGTGCACTCTTCGAAAACGGATCACAGGATTGTCTCTCGGGTGTCTAGAAAACTTGATATACCTGTTCAATGAATTAGAAAATCTTCTAGATCTACTGTTGAAAACCTTGATAGTAAACCAGAATTAATGAATTAAAATTAATTAATTGTCAAAGCATAGCAGTCACACTCAAGTAGATAGTTTCCCCTCACGTAGGCCTAATCATTGAGCCCCCCTCCCCCTTACTTTCCTTTCTCCGTCTCCATTTCACTAGACTTTAGTTTCGCCACTGCCCTTAGAGGAGGTACAGTGGCAAAACTCCGACAGTTTAGGTATTATTTAACCCTTTGTAATTTTTTTCTAGAACTGAAAACTAAGATATGAGGCCTGACTTTTTTAGACCCCCTTGTTTCAATGGACAGCCAGTAACCACAAGAAGGGGACCCTACTGGAAATTAGTCTTCGGAATTTCGTTACGCTTGGTGTTCACACCAATCAAATCCAAAACAACCAGCTGCCTGTCTGAATGTTCTGCAAATTATTTTAAGCGTCTGTTCCTTATTTAAAGCATTAGCCAGGTCTGTTCGTAACTTGTGAAAAGCTGTGATGTAATGGGTCCAGATTATTTACAGAATGAATGAAATAAGTTTTAATGAAATAAAGAATGAAATAAGTTTGAAGTCAGGCTCCAGAGGAAAACTGATTTTTCTAAGACCGCCCATTTTCACACATTTTCCCCAGCTTTTAAAGAGAGAGAAAAAGTTTTGATGTGTTGTAGAACTGATTTTTCTAAGACAGAAAAAAGACTCTAAGACTCTGTGTAACGGTGAAGAAGATACAGATTTTTGAATATTCAAAAACTGGGGGTGGGGAGGGGCGTACCCGCCCATTGTTACACCTTTCATTCACCGTTACCCAATTTTTTTACCCGCCACCCCCACCCCTAAATCCTCCCATGCTCTAACATGTTAAGGGTGGTGGGAGGACCGGACGTCGACGACCATGTTAAAGCAGGTAAGATACTAGGCCTATGCTTACTGGTAAAGAATAACATCATTTTATAATATATTATATTCCATTATATTTAGTGAACATACACAAGTTTGTATCAGCCGCACTCACTTAAGTGGTACGTTTAACTTACCTTAACATACTGAATACTCTGCTGTGAAGTACTGGGGTGGGTCCAGATATTTTCAGGAGGGGGTGCAGAAAGAAGGAACTCCTCTATAAATAATGTAATTAAATTTATTGGGGAAACCGTCTTCTCTCTTGTCACCCTCCCATCTTTCGAGTTAAAACCAACAATAATATTAGCCTTATAATTGTTTTCATAAATGACCCCCACACCCACCCCTAAAGAAAAAAGCTGCTTAATATTTACTTAACATCTATCTGTACATTTTTTTGACAGCTAAAATTTAAAAGCACTTATAACATGTTAATAATATTATTATTAAGGGTGGTGGGTGGGGGGACGACCGCCGCCTATGAATCCACCCAGGTGTATCACCTAGGTAGGGGTCTGGGATTACGGTAGAGTTTTTCTTCACATTTTTGTTTCATGTGAAGCGGATAGAAGCTTTTTTCATTACGCGCTATATTATAAGTGTAATATTATTATTATTATTATTATAACATTATTATTATTACTATTATTATTATTATTATTAGGCCTATTATTATTATTATTAGGCCTGTTATTATTATCATTATCATATAACAATCATTTTGTGAAGCCCAGTCGAACTATAATTTAGAAAGTCCTTTGCAAATGAAAGTCAAATTACCTTTTAAATAAATAAAAACATGAGCCAATAATAATTTTGTATATAATGTTAAAGCAGGTTAGATAGGCATACTGGTAAGAATATGGTCAAAAATGGATTGTACAATACATGCTAAAATTTGATTAATGTAGATATTCCTTATTCGTGTCGTATTGACTAATTTTAGTGATTAACATGGCCAGGAGTTTATAATATTTTTATTCCATTATTTAGTGAACATACGTGTTTGTATCAGCCGCGAATACTGAAGTGGTATGTTCCACTTACCTAATATTCTGCTGCTCCTTTAGCTGTACTGTACTAACGTAATTTGAATAATGAATTTTCACGTGTGTTGCTTTTGTAGAGTGACATCCTCGTCCAATATTTCAGTGTAGATTCATTAAAGTGGTTTTTTATGA